CTCTTCTCAGACTGACCAGCAGTTCCCAGGCACAACTCTCTACCATCTTCTGGAGTGTTTAGGGATGTGCCAGCTTTCTCCGCTTATCTCCAGAGCGTTGCTCTACGAGAGCACCGTTTTCACCCCCCTTCCTCCATTCCAGTCCATCACAAGAAGAGATTTTTGAATGGAATAAGTTGTAGAGATAAGTAGTTAAGTCACCGTGACTTTCTGTTTGTTTCTAAGGATAGATTTCTAGTTGCACAATTTCCAGCCTGATTTTTAATTTAAAAATCAAATTGGAAATTTACTAGGTCAGACCTGTGGGCAGAAGGGAGTTTAATATGCCTTAAGATAGACAATCTTTGGGGGCCAGAAGCATATTTGATATGTTGTGGACAGGAGGATGCCCACACAATGTTACACACAAGAGTTCTAAGAGAAGCTGGAAAAGGAAAGTGGAGGGGGGGGCTCTTTGGACAACTTGCTGTTGCTTTAAGCAGAGCTAGCTTTTTCAGTGGTTAAAAAAAAGTAGTAGCAGCCATTCTGTTGCATGGCTCATTGTCTGATCTAAATAAGGGGGAACTTTGTTCTGCCTAGTGTTTGACCTTCTCAGAATCCTGTTAGGATCCTAGACAGACTGTTTTCTTTACTAAGGCACAATTCAGTGTTTTGAGGGAGGTATGTGTACATTTTTCAGCCATGAAACAGAAAAACCTGAAATATCTAACAGAACGAAGTGTTTGCAGGCGGCCTAAGTTTGTGTCTTTAAAAGAAGTGGAGAAGAAGAAAAGCAGGTTGGTGACCTGGATGGATGGATGTGTGTGTGTGTGAGAGAGACAGAGAGAGAAAGAGAGAGAGAGAAAGGGACCCCATAATTACAGATAATTTGGTCTGTAATTTGGAAAGTATGTATGTGAAGAATCTGTCATTCTGGGAACAGAAAATTCTGAAGATCTCTAGAACATTCTGTTTCTCCTCTGGACCACATCAGCCCAGAGTGGTACATTTTGCAGACCATCCTGATTGATTTCCCCAAGCTGGTTCCTCCAGAGATAATGGTCCAACACCAGTAATTCCTAGCAAGTTGTCAATTCTGAGAGAAGAGGAGGGCAGAAGCTGGAGGAAGGTCAGTTTAAGGCAAGAAGAGAGAACTGAAATGGCTGTTGTGTGACTTATCTACTACCTGCATGACCCGAAGAGGGCCCTAGTGCAGTGGCTATAAAAGTTCAGTAATAGATGATGTGTATTGGGACTCAAGGATATCCACAGGGTGTGGTTAAAAAAAAAGCCCAGATTGCAGCCATGATGGTGTGATCAAAGTTCTGCCTGTGTTTTATGTGCATGGGTGCTGATAAAATTTTAAGTGCTCTCAATTAACAACGTAAACCAAGAGTAGGGAAGGATGTTCACTTACACATCACTGAAAGTATTGCTGGTTGCTTTGATTTCCCCTCCTTCATTCAATTTAATAGGTGTTCTTAACACTTGCTTCAAAGTTACATTCCAAAACTGAATTCCTTGACTTTGCTTGATGATCTTTTTTTTTTCCTTTGCATTATATATAAGAGAGCATTGACTAATTTTGCAATCTCTTTATTTGCAAGTGGGCCAGAGCAATCAAAGGAAAGCTCTACACACATTCCATCTCACTGGGACCAGTCAGCCTTACCAGAACTGGGATATGCGGTAGGTTTCACGAAAGTAGGTAGATGGTTCCGTATTCCCTATGTAGTCACTCAACTCAGTATGTTACATAATGTGTGTGTGTGTGTGTGTTTTAAATCAGGCACTGTGCATAGTGGTATCATAACAAATAGACAAATGGTTATTTTTCTGCACAAATGCTGGTATTCTGTCCTTGGCAGGCTCTGGTTTTGTATCCCATAATTATTCAGGTTTTCTTCATCCTTTAATTTATTTTGAATGTTTTGTTTGAGTCCCTTAATTTATGTTTTAAGGAAGTAAGATATTATTCCTTTAGTTTTTACTCTAGCTCTTCTCCCTCCAGGTATGTGTGTGAGGGGTGGGGGGACAGAATATTCTAATAAAATTTAAATGGTCCAGTAAACATCAGCAATGGAAAATTGCATGTGAACAACAAAACTCATATCCAGTAATGCTAATAATAATTAGTTTACTTCTTCAATTAACTCTTCTTCTGCCCTGCCCATCTCTGTAAAATAAAGAGTAAGGCAGCTTGATGATAAGTAGGTTACAGAGAACAAGGAGTAAAACTGGTGATTAAGAGCCAGAATTGTGTAACAGTTAACATGCTGTGCTGGAAAGACTGAGGTTCAAGGCTCCTTTACATAGGAGAGATACTCACTGAGTGATTTGGGGCCAACCCACTCAATTTCAGCCTAATCTATATCACAGGGTTGATGTGGGATAGAAAATGAGGTGAGACTCCTATATAAGGCACCCACTGCTCCTTAGAGGAAAAGCAAGCTAGAAATGCAGTTAATCATGAAATAAACCATGCTGCAGGAATGTCTTTCTCAGAGAAAGTCTGAGGGAAAGGGAATGAAGGTCCCCTCCTATTATGGAGCATGACAGAAGCGGTCACAGAACTGGGCATTTTCTGTGGGAGCTTCCCCCCACCCTTTGTAATGCCTTGTCCCCCAGAGCAAGACTAGCCCCCATTTTTAAGGGGCTAGTTGCTTCAGAAGGCCTTCAGAGATTGACTGGTGTTGGCACTAAGTAGGAGATTGTTTCCTCTAAAGTCGTTATATTTAATGTAGTTTTTAAAAATATTTTTGCAGTGGGGCAGATATATTTTGCTATGGCTTAAATTGTATATTGCTTAGAGTCACCCAGACTGAAGTGGTATATAAATCTTATAAATGAAATAAAAGTTCCTGTTTCTTAAAACCACCTGTTGAGTGTCAAGTCACTGAGAGAATTCATAGTCCCAAGCTGGATCAGATATTGTTCTACAACTCCAGTTAGGTAGTAGTTGCTAAGCCCACAGTAAGCAAGAACTTATTAGAAGCCATTGTGATCTTTCTACTAGATAGGGAAGGTCAATTCTCTTGAGATTTCAGATCTTTTAGCCTCCTGAACCAGCCAGTCATTATTCTCTTGTTCTTTGAAGCACTATTCAGCACCAGGATTAAATATTGGCACTGATTAAAAATAGCATAGTGAGAGGAATATGCAGGATGGATCATTGTCCAGCTTGATCATCCTTGGGAAGCATACTCAAAAGTATGAAGATGATTCAAGACATAGATATTTTCCCTGTCTCATCTTCCCTGATCAGTGGATACCTAAGGACTCAATGACATGTTGTGCTTGGTAAGTTAGGGCAGATAACCTTATTTCAAATTTTGCTGCATAAATTAAGTTTTCCTCCCATTTTTGAAACATGTTTATACTCTTTTTTCCTTTTTGCAGCTAATCAACCTCCTCCCATCCTCCAGTGAATACAGAAAAGTCCAGGCTAACTTTCAGCGCACAATGCCCAGGGCCACAATTGTGGCAATCAAAAGAATCCAGAATGTGTCTCTTTGGGAAGTTTATCAGTGGTATGTGCAAATCAACTGCACTGGTGTTGTGCATTGGCTTCTCTGAAACTGATTTTTTAAAAGCTTCAGGTTTCTGTTGCATAGCAGAATGCTAGATTAAATGGAAATACTATTTTGGAAGGATTCCTCAGTATTATTTAGATTAAAAGTGGTGGGGGTTGATCATGGCTGTATTGCCGGAGAGCAGAGAATTTAACTGTTTCTTACTCTTTGGGGACTACACTCTGATGGTCACATAGCTAATTACCTGATTGAAAGCTTTTGTCTTCACATATACTGGTTCTCTCCAATCGCTGGAATATAAGTAGACTTCCTTTTGTGGCAGAATGTTCATTTGTTCAATATATCCTTTCCCTGGCAGTGTGTGAATCATTCAGAGGGTCAGGAACTTTTGTAAAGCATCCCTCTGCATCTGCTGCTCAAAGCATATCTTCTTAAAGCAGCCACCCCATATCTGGACATTGCCATTAGTGGCTGTACTCAGGCAGTATGGGGAGGTCCACAAAGTGGTGCCTCCAAGCCTTGAGGAGACATGTAGAAAGTCCCCTTCTGAATAGTTCACACCACCCTACCTTTTCCCTCTCCAGCCTTTCCCGGGTTCAAGTTCATATTGAATGCCTGAGGGTAGGAGTGTCACTGCTGTTCATCTGCAAGTTACTCTGAGAGTACTCCCACTGAAAGGTTGCACTGAGATGGGAGGCCCAGGTCCAGGTCCACGTCCACCCTTAGCCATGAAAATTCACTGGATGACTTCACATACATACTTTCCAAATCGCTGAGTCCCACTCAGCCCAGCATAACTCTCAGTGATAGGATGATGCTATCTGGAAATCCTGGAGAAAAGGCAGGATATAAGTGAAATGATATTAGTACTATGAGTAAATATATAAGAATATATGCCCCTTTGGGGATGAAAAAAAAATAACAAGTACTTTAAAAGCCTTCCTGTGTGCAAATGTTGCTTATTGGACCTAAGTGGAAAATCCATTTGCTAGCTGTAACATGAGGAATCCATTATTATGATGAAGGAAGACTGGGAGATGCTGGGGAATTCTGGGAGTTGAAGTTCACACATCTTAAAAGTAGCCAAAGTTTAGAAACACTGGCTTACATTAAGGATCAGCTCCAAATTCATGGGGCTATTGGGTGTTGCAAGTAGAGAGAGAAAGAGCTTAGTTAGGGAAGGAGCCTGTCTGGATAGAGATTGAAGACTTGGAGGGAAAGAGGTTTTGTTAAAGACCTTTAAAGATATTTTTTTTCTGAACAATAGAAGTATTTCCAAAATATCTCTTCGTAAGATGTGAAAGAAGCAGGTCTGGGTTTGGAAACAGTAAAACCAAATCAGGAATCAAGCTGACATGAAAGGGCAAGTGTTTGATTCAACTTCAGTTTTCAGGAGTTTATGGAAATGATAAAAATGAAAAATGTGTACTCTGAGTTTTGGCTCCTCCCTCACACACTTTCCTGTTTGGTACAATGGAGAACAAACACTAGAATACATAGCATTCTTTGTTTTACTACAGCACGATGTAGTAATACTTTCCCCACCCACATTTCATAGAAAGGGTACCTTTGTAGATATTTCTAGGCCCAATAGAAAGCTGTCCTGGTCTTGCTGTCACGCCACCGTTGCTTTGACAATATATGCAGGGAAAAGGAATGCTTTTGATTTGTTAGTCAAATTGTCTTTATCTCCCATGTAACCCCTTCAGAAGAGAATGAAACATTTCTGTAGTGGAAGGGAAAATTAAAAGGTGCCCAGCAGGAGTCGTTTTAAAAAGCTGAGCAAGACTTTGAAACAGCAGTTCCTCCATTACAGATTTCTCCTTCCATAACTCTCTAACTTGTGTTATTGGGTGAGAATTAAATCATGAAAAATTAATAACAAATGGTATATGTAAGTATATGTACAGTATTTGCAGACTGTTTTTCAGCTGTAATAGTTCCCTATTAGGTCACAGTATTTTTAACTTGTCTTTCAATCATGAATAGGCAGGGTATAAAAAAGAAAAGGACACTTAAAATAAAAGGAAAAAGCATGCCAAACTAGCAGAATTCTCTAGCATCTAAAAGCTAGTAGATAATAGGTTGAATCCGCATCCTCCCAATCTTTTGGGTGTTAGCTTTGGTTATCCTCAGCCAGCATGGCTCTCTAACACATGTGGCTGGCAGCACGTTGGAGAAGGCTAGTCTAACCACTGGAAGATGATCAGAATAAGCAAAATAGAAAATCCTACTCTTTCCTTAATTTAGCTGCTGACAGCCTCTATTAAAGATTACACGCACTCAGACATTGCAAGCCACAGAGCCACCACAGGGGAGGGGAACCCTGCTTTTTCTCTAATGGAGTCTACCATCCATAATTGTTCATCCCTAGAACGGCATCATTAAGAGAGTTGGATATCTAGGCTAAGGTACTCAGTATCAAGTATCCCCTTGCCAGTTCCTATTTTGTTTTCCCATGGTCATATTTGTGTCATTTTTTCATGTTTCTAGGCAGAAAGAGCAGATGAAGAAGGCAAATGGGGGCAAGGATGTGGATGAAAGGTCATTGTTTCATGGAACAAGTAAAAACCACATTGATGCTATCTGCCAGCAGAATTTTGATTGGAGGATTTGTGGTGTTCATGGTACAGCTTATGGCAAAGGTAACCTATATTGTGTTTTGTGCATAATAATTTAATTGAAGTTGATACGCTTCAATTTCACACTGTATAGAAATAGTTCTATACCATTTATTTGGACTCAGTAGCAAAAGTGGATGGGGAACTCTGACCCTCCAGATGTTGAATTGCAATATATCTCGCCACTGATGGTAATCGCTGGAAATAATGGCTGTTGGAATCTCACATATCTGAAGGGTATCCGGTTGAAGAAGGATGTAGTAAAGGGGTTTTGTATCTTTAAATTCTGTCTGTATTTAGCAGAAGAAAAGCTCTGCCCTAGATATGTGCAAAACCTATCATTCAGGTATAGCATGTTCAGTTCCTCTTCTTGAATTATGCTGATCCAGCTTTTCTGGGGGTGGTGTGGCCCTGTCCTGAAGTCCATAAATGTCTTCAAATTTTAATATTTGTTTTTATTCGTTGCATTTATATCCTGATATCCAGGCACTTGGGCTGGCATATATAATCTTTTCCTCCAGTTTTATCCTCAACGAGGTGGATGGAGCTGAGATGTAGTGACTGGCCCAAACCAATGTGGATTTGAACTTGGGTCTTCCCAATCTTTGTTTGGCTTACAACACTGGCTTACAACCACTAAATACATTACATTCACCTGTTGAACTTCTAGCATGGCCTCTTTTTCTTTATGTTTTTCTCTCTTCTTTATAGGAAGTTACTTTGCAAGGGATGCTGCGTATTCTGATAACTACAGTGGAATCAACTCTTCGGTCAAGAATATGTTTCTCGCCAAAGTATTGGTGGGAGATTTTACAAATGGCTGTTCTTCCTATCTCCGCCCTCCTGCCAAAAATAACCAGAACAATCTTTTCTATAACAGCTGTGTGAACAGTCTCCTGAATCCATCCATCTTTGTCATTTTTGAGAAGCACCAGATTTATCCAGAATACTTGATTGAATATAGAAATTAAATAGAATTTGTGTGTAGAGCATGTATTCCTGTTTAAAGCTAAATGAGCTACTTTCTGAATGACTACTAAAGACCTTAGACTTCAGATACATTCATGTTAGAACTGTCAGTATTTTGTTGATTGATTTTAAACATCTTTTGATAGATTAAAAAAAAGATCCTCCCCCCCCTGCATTGAGCATCACAAATGTAAAAAGCAGACTTAATTTTTACTGTCAAAGCTCAATAAATCTATGGATGTTAAGTGCTTTCTTAGAAGAGACATTATTCCTTTCTCAGGGAGGAATAATTTTGCTGTGATTATACTTGTTCTGATAGTTGTATGTCATGTAAAATCCTAGAGAACGCTTTTTTATTCATAGACAGATTTAATCAGTTGAATCAGAAATGACTCTAAGTTTTGTTAGGGGAGCAATAGCCCTAATACCTAGCCTTAAATAATAACACTCCCCCCCCCTTTGCATTAATTGCAGCGGAGATGTGCAGGGGTTTGAAAAGGTGCTTTGGAGCAGGCATGTGGACATACTACATCTCTCGGTGCTGCCTTATCCCAATAGATAAGGTGTGCTCACCCACACCTGCTCTGAAAGAGTTGATAACCTTATATCTGACATCTGTAAATTGCAGATAATGTTGCAACAAGAGCCCACATGAAGCACTGGTTTTGATAATCTCTAATGTGCTATTTGAAACAGTTCTGCTGTTTTTGCAGTAGATTTTAATATTTTAGCATTAACATAAATTAATCTCTTTCAATGACTGTTCCCTCTTCCTAAGGCCACAAGGGTAGGGATAACCTTCAGTTCAGTCAGCCCTCTGTCTGTGCATCTTGAAGTTCCATATGAACCATGTAACTCTGACCATTATTTAAGTTCCAAAAAATGAATACAGTATGACTTTTTTTCCCCTGTACTTGGTTTCTCAAATATGTCTTATTTTTGTCTGCACTTTTAGAATATGTCTGTCAAAGAACCTTCTCTAAGCTAATGCCTTCTAGATTTATTGGACTACAATTCCCAGAATACCCACTCAGCATGGGTGTTAATCATATTGGTTGGGAATTCTGGAGTTGTAGCCCTTTCATCTGTAAAATATCAAGCTGAGGAATGCTGTTGTAGCATTTTTCTCTGTTTTACTTTGCTAGCTCTCGTGCTTCCTCTCTGGCAGAGTGAGATGTATACGCTGGATTTTCTCCTTTAAAAAATTTCTGTAATTTGTCTGCATTTCCTGTCATCAGGGACCAACTTCTTAAAATTTTAGGTTTGGGATATAAAATACATGTTGGGAATGTTTTTTAAGAACTTACCATTTACTTAAATAAACCTTAGTAACATAAGTAGTTGTTTGGTTGCATTAGATGGTATCATTTTGTTGCATCTCAGTGGATATATAGTTGGCTGTGGTGAGTTAATTACGTGCTAGTGAAACCTCAAGATACAACCCTTTAGTGTGAATATGATGTAGTTGAATGTGTCCTGTACTGAGTTTTGCAGATCTGTAATGGAACTCTTGGAGCAAACCGTATCTAGCTACAGCTTTCCAGTTTTTAGGCTTCTGGGAAGCAATGGCAGATTATGCTGACAGCTGCAGTGGAAAGAGGAGTGGGTGAAGGAATTGGCTCCTTGGAACCCCTCTCCGGATTAAGAAGATTAGGATCACCCATAAGTTTGCTCCATACAGAGGCTCACCCGTGATAGTGATCTCTGCTGGGTTTGAGAGCTCTGGGAGCAGGGGAAAAAGTCATCTTGCCTAAGCTGCGGTTCAGTGCCTTCAAACAGACACTGGGTTTGCCCACTTCCTCTCTTAACTAATTTAGGAAATTACTTATTATCAATCTTTTGGATATTAACCTTCTGAAGGGCAAGTTTCATCACACCGGGATAGTTTCCTTCTATCCTGGGTGAAAGAAGTTCAAAGTTTAAAGATTAAATAGAACAATTTTAATTTTGGGGAAACAGCAAACGAGCATCTAGAATGTTGATTTTGGAAAATTAAGGGACCAGATGGACTTGAAAGAATATTTCCTGTGGGTTGATTAAAATTTTATAAAAGTGTATATGAAGTTTTTGAAATTAAGTGTAAGGAATCCTCCTGTGGGAGTTTTGTTGACTGGAGAATAAACATATGATAAGATGGAACGCTGAAGTTTGACTAGAGGGAATCAGAGAGAACTAATGATTACAATTAAAGGAGAAGATACCTATTAATGCAATGGAGCAATATTATTTGACTATAGAAGAAAGTAAAGCTGTCTGGGAATAATGTACTCAGAAATTACTTTCAAGATTGTCTGCCACTCTAGAAATGGATATAACAGGTACAGAAGAAGAACAGACTTTACAGGATAAAATAGAGTCTGAGGCTGATTTGAATGTGGATTTGAAAATGGATTTTTTTTTAAAAAGCCAGACTACAAGATATGGAAGAGTGACATGGAAAAAGATGCCACAGTAGATTTACAAATGAAACTGGCTGATGTTTTAATAATTAAAGGGGACAAACAAATAATTAGAAGAGTGACTTGCATAGCTTTTTAATTTTGGACTTATAAAAGCGACCTGTTCAACTACTGAAGCTGTTCCTGAGAGGAGACAAAGAGAAAAACATAAGAAATCAACTTGTGGAATACTATTTGTCAGGATTAAAGACCAAGCTTTTTAAAAGTAAACGGAAGGATTACAAAATGAACTTATATGATCAGGGTTAAAATATATATATTGTGGTTTCTGGTAGCTATTAATGGGATTTCTTTATGACCAGGACTGAATGATGATGGTTTAAAACTTTGTTTATAACTGAGGAGACATTTCTTTTGTGTTATCTCTAGAGAAAGTAATAAGTTGGAGTACAAAATTGATTTATTTCATTAAGGTTTAAACATATTATTTCTGGTAGCTCTTAATGGACTTTAGCTGAATAGAACTGAACGATAAGTTCTTACGATTTTTTTTATTGATAGATGAATTATGGGAAGAAGATACCTTTTTTTATTATTGAAATACTAGAGAAGGTATTAAGTTATGGGGGTTGTTTGAACTTGTCGGGAGGTAGAGGGGAGTCACTTTTATATTAATTTTTTTTCTTTTTTTCTTTTCTCTGCACTTTTTCTTTTCCTCACTTTTTATATTTCTCTTAGTTTCTTTTATCTTTGTAAACTTTAATAAAATTATTACAAAGAAAGAAAAAACACTCCAGTTTTTGAGCTTTGGATAGATAATATCTGATTTTACCTTGCGGAACCATTCTCCCCAATGTATCTGCTTCCTCTAAGTGTAAATTATAGGTTGATGCTACAACGTTTGCATGCATTTAATTTTGCTTCATTGTTTACTAAAAATCTCAAGACAGATGCCTTATAAGAAATAGTATAAAGAAATTACCATCTATGACTAAAGAGCCACCAAGGGCTATTTTAAAAGTTTTTAATGGTTATGTATGTTGGAAGTTTCAACACCACACCCAGTCATGTTGGGCTTATTTTGAAAGTGAAGTTTGAAAGTCTTACTAGCTGTGGTAGACTACACACCCAGGAAATTTCACAGATAAATAAGAACTTTATGAGGTAACAACATTAGCACATTGATTTACTTTTTACAGAATGCAGGTAGCTGGCCTATAGAACTACTTGTACTGTAATACAACTTTTGTCCTCTTCAGGGAGTTTACAAGTAATTTTAGAATCCTTTTCTACATGTAAAAATAAGTCTATGAGTACATAGTATTTAACATTTGATAGTCATCAAGAGCAGTTTAGAATATTTTCCTACAAAACACATTGTTTAAATCATTGATAAAAGCAGTTTTCTCCAAGGTGTGCTTTAAAAAGTAACCGGCTTCAACTGAGACAAAATAAGAATCCCTTGACATTTTTTTTTTCATTAGGACATGTTATATGAATAACAGCAGTAACTTTTACTTCTGTTTCTCACAATTACTGTGATTTTTGTATAAGTATCAGATATACTCTGGTGTTTGGTTTGTCTTGCCTTTGCACTGTATTCATTCATGTTTGAAAAGAAGGTTGGGAATGGGCTGTCTAAGCCATCTAATAAAATGGGAGTTGCAAGTCAGGTGTTCATACTTTTCGGTTTACTTCCTTGCAGTTAGTAACACTGCAGTGGAATGAATTTATATATGAAGTTCCTTTTAGGTCTGTACCACTTCTAATATAGATAACTATCTCTCCAATTTTATTGTATCTTTATGTAATCTGGCCTCTAGTTCTAGCCACTGGTGCATTCTAGTTCTTCTATTTAGGACTCTCTAATCATAAGGAAAACGACGTCCTGCTGTTCTACGTATATATGGCATGGAAATTCTAACTGCATTGCAATGCTCCCAAGTGATGTCTGAACCTCAAGAAAAAGAGTGTTGAATGGCACTGTTTTTGCAGGCTTGGAGGATAAGGCAGTACCATCACTGGTAGAGATGTCATTGGTAAGTGGTTAATCTCAAGCACTGGTGATATACTCAGATCTGTTGCCTGCTTCTGTTTCTCAGTAGGCCTTAAACACATTTGTTACTTAATTTTGGTACTGAAATCACTTAGGAGTACAAATGTTTGTGGCTGCTGTTGTAACAGATTCATTGCCCTGGAGTTCAATTTAATCATCAAGTTATGGGTCAGTGATAGAGTCCACATCCTCCATATAAGATACCAACTTCCATCCCTGTGCCTCCAAACCACTAGATTCACATCTGCCTGATACACCTGGGAGCTGCTATTAATTGAACTAGAAAGTTTTTGTTGGTTACATGTACTCCTGCTCTGACCTGGTGAAACATGATGGCCCTACAGCTGAAAAAGAGCAAATTCATTTCTAATCTTAGTCGTTCTGTTCATAAAGTATCTCTGAAAGTGGGAGAACTCTGAAGTAGTTTGAAAGCTTCTCTTTTTACAGTGATAGTTTCCAACAATAGCAAATGCTCAGGTAAAAAAAAAAAAAGATTCCCCAACTTTTTGGGAAGGTGGGCCTAGTTGGAGCTTTGAAAGCCTGTCATGAATGCTCTCGTGGAATGGCAGCCATGGAGCTTACCTACTCCAAAAATTACTGCCGAGTTATTTTAATCTGGATCATACCCTGCCTTTTCACTGGGAATGTAAGGCAGTCAACAAAATAGCTGTTTCACAGATACTAAAATGAACTTGTCCCACAAAAAGGCAGAGAGCGGTGGGCTGGTGCCTTAACTCTAAAATACAAATGCATTATTTTGGACCTGTTTTCTGTTTGAACATACCTTGATGAGGTATGGACACAAGGAACTTGATCAAGAATCTGGGTTACACAAGACAGGATCCAGATATCAACCATGAATTAGCTTCGCTCCCCAAAGCATAATCCAATTCTAACTTCAAAAGTGGTAAAGAAAGACAGCAAAAAAGCACAACTGCACCCCCACCCCAGTAAAATGCACACAACCAGCCAAACAGTGCACACACACAATTGAAACAGCCCACAGCAAAGGGGTAGTGTAAACCCACAGGCAAAATAGCTTATATGCTCTGCACCACAGTCAGCTGAATCTGTTCCCCTTTGCTGTGATTGGGAACCCTTGAGACATAGACAACCACCTGCCTTTAGGGGAGCAAGAGCCAGTGAGAATTGGCAGATGGCACCCAATGGCTGACCCTTCCAGCCTAGGTGATCTCCCAGCCTCGTAGCAGGGGATCCATACTACTCCTTGGCTCATAAGAGGCCTGCCAGGGAGTTGGCTTTCAACGGGTGCCTTTCCTTCCTGTAATTTAAAGTAAGTTCATTTATTACAGAGGCTTCGCATTACACAGCACAGCATTAACTGTAGAAACACCTGCTATCTGTAATGGAAGTGGGAGGCAGGGGAGGAAAAGGACATCTTTTCCAATAAAGCAGTGTTGTCCAAACTTGGCTGGGGAATTCTGGGAGTTGAAGTCCACTATCTTAAAGTGGCCAAGTTTGGACAACACTGCAATAAAGGTTAATATTGGGGGTAAAAGTGCTTGAGGTGAGTATGATCCCCAATGACTAAATGGCTACATCCTTTTAGGTCTTTAGGAGACATTTCCAAGCCACAATACAAATGTGGCTTGCTGTTCTTTTCCTCCAGGCTTATCTTTTTCAATTTCCCAGTCTAGTCTGCAACCTCAGGATTTCCTGGTGATCTTTCAGCCACATATAGTCAGGCCTGATCCCGCTTAGCTTGTTGACTTCAGCCCAAGATCAGCTAGGTGGTGCAACCCACGGTGACAAAATCTGGTGCCCTTCTCCCTTAAAGTGGGTGCAATTCTGCAGATGCTGTTAGAAATGACAAGGAAAGCTTGATGGGAAAAATTGGACCTGTCACTCTGGCCAGTCTTCAGGCTGGGAAAGAAGTCATAAACTTCCCTTTTATTTTATTTATGTTAGTTTCCTTTATCACATGGCTGCCCATTTCACAAGCGTAATTCTGGATGGCTAACCATTATTAAAGATCCTGTGAATTTTTGTGTAATAATTTTCTCTTTGCCCACTCCGTCTACGCATAGTTTTATACGATGTTTGCCTAAAGGTTTGCTTTAGTTTTGCACTGAATATCATGTGCTTTCTCACCCCTAAGCTTTCTTCCCAGAATTGCACCAAGTCCTATCATTTTTATAGCAAGAGGATTAGAGGGGATATCACACAGAGTTGGGCCTGGAATATTCTATTTTGTGGTAATAGGAACTGGTAAAATTTTTGTTAAGCCTGTTTTATGGCTTGCGATACATTGCTTATGTGATTCCTGTGTCAAAAGGGTGGTAAACTCTGTTAACAATGGGTTTGTGGCCACATATAATTCACCCCCATCTCAGTCTTCAGTATGTCAG